GAGGGGGCTGCTGCAGGGCTGGGGTTCAGTGTCGGCATCGCGGGTGGGCAGCTTGCGTGGCGGCAGGCAGTAGGTGTGCATGTAGCGGATGAGCTCCACCACTGAGTGCATCTCCCCCTTGCAGGAGAATTGGCTGCCGGAGCCATCCTCTGCTGAGGACAGGGGGGTCACCAGGTCGCTGGAGCTCAGGGAGTCCTCGCTGGAGTCACTGTCGTCCTCATGATGGGCGCAGTTGCCCGGGGATGGGTGGTGGTGGCTGCTGGGGCACTCAGCTGGGGTTTTGGTCTGGGGGCAGGGGGTGGTGGAGGTGAGGTGCCGGTGCAGCTCGGTGCAGCTGCGGCTCTGTGCCTGTGGGACGCTCGCCCTCCTGTCCCGGGGACCCTCCACCTTCGGAGACGAGAGAGAAGAAAGTCAGTCCCGATCCCTACAGCTGCAACCTGACACAAGTAACAGTCACGGCGGGAGAACCCCTCCAGGCTGACAGAGCCACCCCACATCCTTGAACCCCCTGGTTCTGACCCACCAGCATCCCGAGCTGCCTGGGGGTCAGCCCCAAGCCCCAGGGGGTTTCCACCGGGCACATGGACCAGCAGCCCAACCGCCCTGAGCGCTGCCCCTCCAGCAGCCGGCACGCAACGATGCTCCTTCTCCTGGGGAGGGACTTGCTGCTCTTCCCAGGCAATCTAATTTGCCAGACCTAATGCACCACATAACTGCCATTAGCCAAGCAGAAAAATCTTTGATGGCAACTTCTGCTGGGTTTCAGGAGATTAGCTTAAGCGATGGGGTCGGCTCTGCAGCTCTGCAGCTCTGCCTGGCCGATGGCTCCTGGCTTGGCTGAAGGGGGTGAGGGGGCAGCCAGAGCACACGGGGATCTCACAAACCAGCGCTCAGGAAAGCTGGGAGAGGCCTGACCCCACTGGGTCCAAATGAGATCGAGAGGTGTCCCAGCACAAAGCCCAAAGGCTTTGCTGAGGCCAGACTGCAGCCCATGGCAGCGGTGACGGTCTCTGCTTGTCCCCAGCCCCTGGCCCAGCCGAGGCTGCCCATGCTCCCTGACACCGTCCGTCGGTGACCTCTTATAGGATGGTTCCTGAGATGTCAGTGCTGGGATGGGCATGAACTTTGCCCGCCAAGGAAGTACCTTTGCGCAGGGCCGTGTGGGTCGGGATTTAGTGGTCCCCGGGCGCCGGGAGCTCCCGTCCCACTGAGCCTCGCAGCTCGGGGGCACGTGCGATGGAGAGAGGAGCAACTTCTTCAGCTGCAATGAGAAATGTCAAGAAAAGGAGTCGGCATCGCAGCGAGGACAGGAGAAAGCGCTGTCGGGGCTGCAGCCCCTCGGCTCTCGCCTGCAATGGGCACATCCATTGCTGAGCATCCTACCCAAAAATGAGGGAGGAAAATAAAAGGGCAGGGAGGTGTTTCCCACCTCCCCGTGGCTGTGGGGGCAGGTGCCTGTCCGCACTCAGCCCCAAGGGGCCATGGCTGTCTCCACAGCATTCCCCCACATCCCCAGGGACCCACAAGCAGGGTGGGGCAGTGGGGACGAGAGGGGATTTATTTCCCAGGGGCATCCCCGCTCCCGTCAGACGCACAGGAGCTGTTGTGACATCCAAACTTGTCACTCCATCAATTCTGCCCTTAGGTGACAGAGACTTTACACTGGCATGAGTGACGGGTTTGGACAGCTTGCTTGGGTCCCTGTGGAAAGCTCATTTAGCCAGAACATCCAGAGGGAGCCTCAGCTCATGAATGAGCTTCCAGAGCATTTTGCAGATGCAAAGCCCTGTGGGTCCTGCTGAGGATCTTCCCCAACACCCTCCATCAAGCCCGTGGGTGGTGGGAATGGGGCGTTCCCTGGGTCACCCGCAGTGCCACCACTGCTGACAGCAAGGTCAGCACAACATTTTTCTTCTATTCAAACCCATTTTTGGTTAACAGAAAAAAAACCCCAAACCCCACACCCAGCAACAACATTTCATATTCCACCCATGTCGCGCTAACAACCGAAGGCGACAGCAACTCAACAGCAAGACGACTGCGTAGGCACCGGGGGACTGCACGGAGGAGACAGATCTGGGGCTCCCGTGCTGGCCAGCGGGCACAGAGCCCCGGGGCGGGCACGGGGGGGGTTTAAGGGGTGACAGACTAGAGGGTGCCCAGGTCAGGGTCTGGGAAACATCAACCGGGGCACCCGCATCTTAAGGCGTGCAGCTCCTGCTGGTGGAAGCAACCAGCGCCTTTCCCCCCCCACCCCTGCAACGTATACATCCTATATATACACAGACATATTGTGTGTGATATATACCCCCCCGCGCAGGGCGGGGGCGGTGGAAATGCACGCGCTCACCACTGGATGTCACTCCTGCCCGCCACAGCCCCGGCTTTTGGGGAGACCCCTGGCCCCGGGAGGGACCGTGAGCCTCAGGAAGGAGCGAGCTGGGTGCCCCCCTCCCAGGGGAACTCCCGGGAATGGTAGTGGTTCGCAGCAAATGCTGCCAGCTAGTCCGGGCCAGTGAGGGGAGCAGGGCTGGAGCCCCGATATTCCAGGGAACCAAGGGGGATGCTCCAGTCACCACATCTGTAGGGACTGGAGGCCACACAGC